TCTGCTTTCATCCCGCCCAAGGAGTTGTCAGCCCCAGAGATCATCAAATTTTTGGGTGGGGCAGCCTGGCACTATTGGCCAAATTTATAAGGATGCGTACCTGGAGACCAGTGCCAAAATCACTCCTACGATGATATCCCAAATTACTATGTATGGATGTGAAAGCTAGACAACAAAGAAACCTGCCGGGTATGGGGGTGGGGACCCATTTGTTTTAAATGTTGATCTGAGGAAAGCTTTATGAATATTGTGGCCTGCCGGAGGGACAAAGAGATCTAATGAAGCTAAACTTTCACTAGAAGTGAAAAAAATAATTAAACAAGGCTGTCATGATTTGGTCATATCCGGAAAGAAACGAGACTGCCTGGAAAAGACAACAATGCTAGGAAAGGTTGAAGGCAGCAGGAAAAGAGGAAGACCCAATACACGATGGATTGACTCGATAAAGTATGCCATGACCTTGAGTTTCAAGAACTGATCAGGACTGTTGATCATAGACGTTCAGGAGGTCCTAGACCTGCCATAAACAAAAAGCAACAGGAAACCATACAATGACAATTAATGATTGCCAGGCAGGAAGGTTAGGGGAGGGGTGAAACAGGTGGTGAGAGGAGAGGGATGAACTCCCCAATACATTTCCTCATTTGAGTTGCTCTCCGTTTGCTAACAGACAAGAAATGTTCTTTTTGTGCCACTGGAGACTCTCTCTCTGGGACAGGTGGGTCCCTTACATGTAGTACAAAAAGAAGCCTGTGTACCACCAATTAAAAAAAAGAAAAGAAAGGGAAACAGGTTTGCAAAAATGTAAAATTAAAAAAAAGATTTTTGACAAATTAAGCAGAACTACAAGGTTTATTTTCTTCCTAGGGAAAAAAGTGCCCAGGAGACGTGCATGCCTGCTTGCCTTTCTGTTGTCCAGATGTTTCTTTCTCACAGTGAAAAGGGCACCATCAGGGTCCCAAGTGAAGCCCCCTCCTCCCCGAGCACATTTTGTGGTCTTTAAATCGGACTTGGAATAATGGCCAGTCCTTCTAGGAAAGGATACCTTCAGAAAGACAACGGTGTCCTCAGAAACGGAGGACTGTTCTCCATTTAAAAGGACACGCGCACGGCCACCCTATTCCAGGGAGGAGATCTGCGGCCGGTGGACATTCTCATGGGTCCTGAGCCCTGGCAAGATGACTGCTTCCTCCTTCTGTTTAAAAAAGTTCCACTTCCTGCTGGTGATAGAAGAAAACCATTTATGCCCTGACCTTGATCACTTTATAGACTCCTGGGGAAATAATGTTTTTAAAACTTCCTGCCCTTTCCTCTCCAACATTTCCTTGTTCTTCGTCTGGGCCGAGAGATCTGCGTTTTTTGGGCTCCACCTTCTGATCAAATAATATGCCAACCTGGCACCCCGGACGGCTCTCCACGCCCTCTGTCCTCTCAAGAGCAGGATGCAAGGCCTGTTCGGGCCAAACAGAGAGTTCGTACTGCAAACGAGGCTTTTTACGGGGTGGGCTCTCTCTTTGATGAACGGGTGCCAATGTAAAAAAAAAAAAGATATGGTCACTGCAAGAAATATCTGGGGTAATTCATAAAAGAATACTGAATCTCAACTTATCCTTGGATAAGCAGTATGTTCAGAAGTTTATTCAAGGTAAATAAACATCTTTTGCCATCAGTTTCCCTGAATAAGAGCACCTTATGTCAAGCAGAGATAGGCTCTGCTTCTATTAGGGCAGTGGGGTAGTGGAATCAGGGCTCGCTGGGTTGAAGATAAAGGGACTTTGAGTAGCAAGGATTATTACATTGTCTTGTCACCCCTCTCTAATTTCTTTCTTCAGATCTCAGAGATCCTCCCAGTAGCGGGGAGAGAAACTGATTTTCCCAGCAACGGTATAGCTGCAGACTATCCTTGTTGCAATGAAAAGTATTTGAGGCTCATTTGTTCTTCAATGGGCCACTAAGAGGCATTCCTTTTACAAACAAATGATATGGCCACTGTAAGAAATATCTGGGGTAATTCATAAAAGAATACTGAATCTCAACTTATCCTTGGATAAGCAGTATGTTCAGAAGTTTATTCAAGGTTAATAAACATCTTTTGCCATCAGTTTCCCTGAATAAGAGCACCTTATGTCAAGCAGAGATAGGCTCTGCTTCTATTAGGGCAGTGGGGTAGTGGAATCAGGGCTCGCTGGGTTGAAGATAAAGGGACTTTGAGTAGCAAGGATTATTACATTGTCTTGTCACCCCTCTCTAATTTCTTTCTTCAGATCTCAGAGATCCTCCCAGTAGCGGGGAGAGAAACTGATTTTCCCAGCAACGGTATAGCTGCAGACTATCCTTGTTGCAATGAAAAGTATTTGAGGCTCATTTGTTCTTCAATGGGCCACTAAGAGGCATTCCTTTTACAAAAGACCTATACCTCCGATGTTGCTATATAAACTGATGCAGCTGCCAATGCAACTTCAGAAGGTATGCCCTTCTCTATGTGAGCAAAATGTAGGTATCTGCAGGTGTGTGTTTGTGGGCTGGAACTCGCTGAATTCTGCCTGGGGAATTCTCAGAGAATCCTGTCATCCAAAAAATAACACATCTCTAATGGACATCACTGGCTCCTCGATGATCCTGTTTTGTCTTTCCTTCTGCCTGGGAAATAGCAGAGGGAGGGAGGTGGTCCAGGACTCTAAGAGAGGCCGTTCAGCAAGTACATTTCAGTGCCTTCCGTCAAATCCCAAATCCACCCTAATTACAGATCTATTTCTCAGCCAGCATAAATCTCCCAGTAAGTGGCCATGCTGTCTGTCCAGGTAGCGATGTCTGGGAATTGGGAGTGCTAAATGCTAACTTCATTTTACATCTATTCCTGAGGTATGACCTTTTCATACTCCTAGAAGAAGGTGCACTCTGCACTCTGGAGTACAGTGGTGCCTCGCTAAACAGTTACCCCGCATGACATTTTTTTCGCTAGACATTGACTTTTTGCGATCGCTATAGCGATTCGCAAAATTGTAATTCCTAGGGGGGAATTTCGCTGGACAATGTTTGGTTCCTGCTTCGCAAACCAATTTTTGCTAGACAACGATTCTGACAGCTCCCTCCACGCTCACAAAATGGGTGTTTTCGGGACCTAAGCTTCACAAGACAGCGATTTAAACAGCTGATTGGCGGTTCACAAAGCGGCTTTCCTATGGCCGATCTTCACTAGACAACGACGATTCTTCCCCATTGGAACGCATTAAACAGGTTTCAATGCATTCCAATAGGCCTTTTCACTAGACAATGATTTCGCAAAACAGCGATTTCAGTGGAACGGATTATCATCGTCTAGCGAGGCACCACTGTATTACCTATACAACAAACACATTGGAGTAATCTGGGCCTTTCTGCAGAAACATAAGCTAGAGGCAAGTCTCTACCTTGTAGAGTTTATGAATCTAGATTTAGAGGGAGTAGCAGGCAACCTAGCATTGATACCGAGGAAAGCTGAAACTATATTTTAAGGTTGATCACTGAATTAGTAACTGACCATACATTTACTAGGAAAAGCCGGGCCTGGGAAGAATCCAACCCTGCAAAGTTCACACCTAGCTCAAAAGTATTTATGGCTGACACTGAATAACAACGTAACTCTTCCTTTTCACCTACAGTATTCATCTCTTTTATGTAACAGATCTTTTACAGTATTCATCTCTTTTATGTAACAGATGGCCCATCATTAGAACTCTTGTATCGGAGGAAACCAACAAGTAACATATACAAGCAAGACCCTTATTGAAGGCCATACATCAGGGTCCAGGATAACAACACATAAACATATCAATAAGATAAGGGAAATAGATTATAGTCCAGACTTGCAGGCCCATCCCAGTCACATCTTGGGCATAGGTCAAGGAAAGATGGGGGCATAATATGCATTTTTATTTTACATTTTTAGATTAGCATAGCTGGCATCAATTATCCATTGAGGGACTGGATCCGAAGTTGGGGTACAATTGGCCAATAGATTCTTAGTCTTTTATGACTCTTTTTCTGTATCATATAAAACATATGTACACCATATTCTTGGATTCTTCTCTGCCTTTAAGGGAAGTCCCAGCTGATCTTTCTTGCTCTTTGCTGTTCAAATTAAAATCAGACCTTTGGTTCAGCTGCTGAGCCTCCGCCTGATTCCTCGTGGGAAAACAAACCCAGAATTGGCTGGTAACCGCATCTTTCAGATGTGTTGGGCCACAGTACCCATCCTCCACAGAAATTAGCCCATTTTAGCTGGGGCTGATGGGAGACGTACTCCAAAATGTCTGGAGGGCACCAGCTTGCTGGCATTCCATTCTCCTCATAAGGGTAGACTTTCTGAATCGTGCTGCTCGGCCATTCTCCTCCTGAACTCTGATCCCGAAACATCTCTAGAAATATGTGAAGCTAAATCAATGATTCACTTGAGGTTGTTTTTACTGTTGTCAAACTGTTGCCCGCATCTAGCAAGATCTGGCATTTTCTCTCTCACAAACATGCCTTTTCTCTCTCTCTCTCTTTCACACACATTCTTTTCCTGGTAAGTCACTTTTTTATTATGAAAGACCTTGAAACCTATTTATTGCACCTGTGTTTCCTTGTGAGTCCTTTGCTAATGCTCAGCCACAAACTGTTATTACAATATCTTTCTGTGTAAATCTCCAAGGCAGTTTAAATAAGCAGAAGCTGTAATGGAGGCTATCACACTTTAGGAACATGGCAAGTAGCCTAGACTCCTGAGAAAAGACAGTCTTGGTGGGAAATGTTGAAGGCAGCAGGAATACAGTAGAGGAAAACAAAATAAGAGATGGATTGACTGAATAAAGGAAGGCACAGACTTTAAATGGCAAGAACTGAGCAACACTGATGACAACATCATTTTTCTGAAGGTCTCTCATTCATGAAGCAAAACGGACATACTATCAGAGCTCGTGAATTTATGCCAGAATCCTGTTGGTGATTTATGCATAAATAAGTGAAATTGTGCAACTCACCACGACATATTGCCATCAACTTACAAGGCACGTTGTCCTCTGATTTCACAGCAGGTGCACACCAAATGTCATTAGTGCTTTGTTAATTGGCAGCAATTCCCCGATGGCACCTCTGCAAGCCATCAACAAATTTCTCACCTTTGCCTTTTGGATTCTGCCTTCCAGAATCCCCCAGAGAGCTGCCGTTCAAAAGAAGACACATTTCCAATAAGTCCTGCATGTTGTCATCCGAAAAAGCATCAGCGCACAGACACAGTAAGCCCAAAGTCTAAAATTAATCAGCCGATGGGACCCTCCAGTCTCATAAATCGTTAGCGACCATGCTTGTTTCCTCTCTTTTTAAGGCAAAGTTGTGTTGGTATTTTAACTTTTAAATGTTAAAATGTTGAAGTTCTGATTTTATTTTAATAACACGCTGACTGTAATTCTCTGTTTGCAACTATGTTGTATTTTAATTTTATTTTTGAGCTGTGTTATAAGCCATGTAGAAAGTCAGACATTCACCGCAATGGTAAGACCGGCAAAAGGCTGCTCGGTTCAACATTCTTGATTTCCCTTCTCACACCTTTATTTTTCTCTATATATAATATATTTGTCATTTCATTTTATTTTATTTCAGTTCCTCGTTTTTTGTTTCATCTCATCTCTGTTAAAGAGTGGCTATTATAGTGCTTTGTGTTGCTTAAACGTATTAAGTAGCAGGGCTTCCTGGTTGAGCCTGTAACATTAGTCAGAGCTTTCCCTCTGTTCCAGACAAAAAGGCTGCGTTATCTTAAGGTGGAAAATCAATCACCAAACAACCCTAAATGTGACAGCATTGTACAAATGCCAAAGAGCAAGCTGGCAGAGACTGTGATTACTGAAGGGTTACAGGTGGCTTATATGCTTCAGAAAACTAGAAAAATAAACTTCTCTGTTTTCTTTGCTCCCACTGCGCCTCTGGGCAGGAGTTTACTCCAGGATCTGGAAAGACCTAAAAAAAAGAGGTTACTTACCTGTAACTTTGGTTCTTCGAGTGGTACTCTGTGAATTCACACTAATGGGTTAATCTGCGCTTGCGCAGAAGGCCTCGGAACATTCTAGAGCTTAAAGTAACACTTTTGGCTCCGCCCCCCCAGGACCTCATGGTCCGCCCGCCCTAACAGCCATTCAGTTCCCCAAATTCCGCTGCTGCTCTAAAGGCGAGACAGCCGTGACGGAAAGTGGGGAGGACGGGCGGGCCGTGTGAATTCACAGAGTACCACCCGAAGAACCAAAGTTACAGGTAAGTAACCTCTTT